AAGCAAGAGAGGGAACAATCATGTCTGGTGAATGGGTGCAAAGAGCACAGAATCCATCCAGCAGTCCCTTACCATCCTTCCTCCAACACCCTGGGGCCTGATCCGACTGTTTACGGGAGCTGGACTGGAACAGATCCACTTCAGAATCTCAGTGTTACACTGTCACTAACTGAGATTCTCTTCATACAATCACATGGGAAAGTTTTCCAAGTAATGATCTGTCCTCCAGATGTGGAGGATTCTCCTGCTAGTCCCTGTGCAGCATACAACACCCAGTACCGGCCAGAGAAATGTCTTCCCCGCGCTGAGCAAGGCGGGACAAAGCGATTGCAGTATCAGGAGGTCTAATGAGCACTGGACGGTTTGATAATCTCAAGCTTCAACAGGGCTCTGCTGAGTGCTTCTGATCTCCTAAACATAAAGGAGATGGCTTCCAGAGTTTAAGTCTCATGGGACAGAAATGAGAGAAAGCCACAGTTATTGTTTAAAGGGTTGTGGACAGTGTACATAGGCTGTAATCTGACTGTTAATTAGCATGGAACTGAGATCCTTCTTAATGTTTTAATTTTCCCAATTAACTCATTTCTGTGACGATTCCTTCATGTGGCACCATATTGATTTTCACATGGGTCATCAGCAGGGCTGGACCCTTTAGACCCAATATACCGTCCTCTGCCACTGCAGTTAATGGAATAACTGCTAGCAGTAGTAGGCTATCATCGTCTCTGTGGCCCAGCAGCAGAGGCGGATGAGACATGCACTCTACCAGTGTGTTTCCGTGCTATTGGCCAGCAGAGAGGAATGGGTAGACTCAGGAATCGTGGAATTCCATTCCAGGCTCGGGAGGATGTGTGCTCTAGTGGGCACAGCCTCTACTGCCTCTGTCCTCTCTGCCTTGCTCATGTCCTAGTCTCCCCACCAGCTTCTCACTCTCCCAAGCTCTTTGTACCATTCTCCTTTTCCCACCAATCCCAGTCTCCCCCAACATGAGCTCCTCATCTGGTCTTATTCTTCTGCCCCACCTGCCTCCTAGTCTTTGTTATTTCCCCCCAGCACCCTGTCTTGTTCTCTTTGCCCACTCAGTCCCAGTCTCCCTGCCTCCAGGTTCCCTGTCCCAATGTACTCCCCTCCCTACGTCGCCTAGGTCTACCTCCTGTTTCCCCTATGTTTGAGTTTGGCTCCTTCACCCTCCTCCGCCTTGCCTACGTGCTGGCGGGAGCATTGAGCATGCACGTGAGACAGTCTCCCTGCTCTCAGTTCTGGTGCCCAGCAATGCAGAGCTGGGAACAACTGCAGAGAAAGTCCTGCTTGGTCCCTGCCAGTGCCAGGTTCGAGCGTGCTCAGTCACTTTGTAGAGTGAGTGTACGTGCCGTCTGGTCACAAGTAGGAGCTGGGAGGGGATAGAGCATTTGCAAATTGAGATTTTTTAAATGTTCATAGCCTGGCTAAATGTGGGTGATTTTTCATGGAAACACTAAAAGGCACATCCCTGATCTCAGAGCAATCCCCCCTCCTACCCTCCAGCAAAATTTCAAGTCTCTGCTCCAAAGCATGAGGGCGCTAGAGGCTTGTGACAAAATTGGGTTAGGAATCTTTTTAACATGAGCAAACAAATGTATTCTCCCCTGATCTCGTGCTCAGAAATGGCTGACCCATTTTTGCTGAAATGAATATGCAATGCAGTGGTTATCACGTCTGCTTTGCACACTGACGGTCCTGGGTTTGAGCCCCATTAGCACCAGCAGCTCCTTGTGTGAGTAACAATGTTTATAAAATCCAGCAAACCTTGTACTGCAGTTTTCAGGGGCTGATTTTCTTTTGCAGCAGGAGATGGTATTAGTGTGAGGTTGTCACTTTCTGTGTCGAGCTGGCTACAGATGTGTCCCATAGCAGCTTAATGTCACCCCGTCCCCAGAGAGTCTGTATTATAACACAGCCTGTAATAGCAGAAGTGCCTGCTGTTCCTCAGACAGTATGGTTGAACCTCATATAATTTCTCTACATCCTTAGGTCATGTCTAGAGTGGAGAGCTTACATCAGCACAGCTGTACCAATGCAGCTGCGTTGCTGTAAGAGCGTCCATGTAGCCGCTCTATGTGGTCAAACCGAGAAACCAGGGAAAAGAAAATCGGTTTGTTTCTAACCAAAACAGAAGGGTTTTTGTATTTCTTGCTGAAATGATGCATCAAAAAGCCAATCCAGTCAGATCAAAGGCAGCTTTTCGCATATCCTTTTGAAACGGCCTTTCGATTCCAATCGATGTTTCGCTTAGGAAAAGTTGCCACAAAATGAAATGTCAAAACTCTTTCATTGGAAAATGTCTAAACGTTTTGACATTGCTGAAATTTTTGTTTTCAGTTCTTTTGGGAGGAAGAGAAGAAATGGAAATGACACGAGCACCCCCAGGAATAAACCTGTTTGGTCTGGTACTTCTGGACATTGGGGCCTCTGCAAGAGGCTCCTATTCAGGCAAGAGATAAGGCGCAGTCACAGGTCGAGCAAAGTGACTGTGACACGATGTTTATTCACGTTGTCCCACCCAGCCCTGGCAAAGCTCCCCCGGCTGGACACTCATCAGGCTGCTGGGTTTGGGTCTCACCCACTGGCCCCTTGTGCTCTCAAGCGCCCCTCGGTCTGAGTAGGCTGCAGCATTTCCCTCCCCTTCAGGGCCGGCTCTAGGATTTTTGCCGCCCAAAGTAAAAACAATTTTGGCCGCCCCCGGCCCCGCCTCAACTCCGCCCCTTCCCCAAATCCCCAGCCCTGCCTCCTCCCTCCAGGCTCTCAAGCCTAGGAGGGAGGGAGAGAGGGAGGGGGAGAAGCAGCGCCGCGCCTCGGCCACTCGGAGTCTCCCCCTCCCTCCCAGGTTTGAGAGCCTGGGAGGGAGGGGGAGACTCCAAGTGGCCGCGGCGTGGGCGCCGCTTCTCCCCCTCCCGCCCAGGCTCTCAAGCCTGGGGCAGAGGGGGAGCAGCGGCGCGCGAAATGGCTGCTCGGGATCTCCCCCTCCCTCCCTCCCAGGTTTGAGAGCCTGGGAGGAAGGGGGAGACTCCGAGCCGCCGCGGCACGCGAAACAGCTGATTCGCGCACCGCTGCTCCCCTCCCTCCCAGGTTTGAGAGCCTGGGAGGGAGGGCGAATAACGGTGCGCGAATCAGCTGTTTCGCGCGCCGTGGCAGCAGCAGCGGAGGTGAGCTAGGGCGGCTGGGGCACATTTTTAGGGGCGGCATTCTGGCGCCGGCCATGCCACCCCTAAAAATGTGCCACCCCAAGCACCAGCTTGTTTTGCTGGTGCCTAGAGCCGGCCCTGCTCCCCTTGGCCTGTCTGGCACATTCCCTGGGCCCAGGCTCTCTTTCTGTTAGCCCTTCACAGAAATGGGACCAGATGGCCCAGCAGCCCTTGCCCCCAGGACCATTGCTGACCCCCCAGACTCCCCAGTAGCTTAGACACACCCTTTCCCAGACTGCCAAACTTGTGAGCACTCTGGGTTTACAGTTCACCTCTTCAGGGGGTCGTGATAGTGAAGCAAACAGACACACGGGCTTTGAAAAAGGGTTTCAAACCAATCACTCTTTACTGTAGCTAGTGCAAGAAATATACATATCTAGACAAAGCAATAAGGAATCTGCCTCACTTTCCTCACCATACTGGTGTATGCTTAGGGTGAAGGTCAGAGTCCCTCAGAGGTCCCAGGTTCCCAATCGTGCACATGGCTCTTCTTCTGAACCAGGCAATCTCTCTCTCTCTCTTCTGCAGTCAGTGCCCTCATCTCGCTGTCTCTAAAATGGCCACTGACAAACCTCTCTTTTACAACCTCCCATCCCCTTTGCCAGGTGAAACCCTGGCAGCCTCATCAGGTGCTCAGAGTCCCTCACCAGGTGATCTATTGCTAGTGACCTCCCCACAGAAGTCACACTTGATTCATGGGTGTGCCTTGGGCAGCAACCATCTCCATGCCGAAGGGGATTCCATTTGAATGGACGACCATCAAAATTAGACAACCTCAGGTAGCATCCCTGGGCCACCAACCCTTAGAATTTAGTCCAAGATGGAG